TTTTATAATTTTTTGGTTTTAACTCCCTCAGTGGTATTTTTGGAATCTTATCACATTACTGACAAGACTATCTGTTATATATTTGTCTATTATAATAGAGCATCTGGCACATTTTATAGTATATTTAGCAAGCTTAAAAAAAAATACAATGCTGCCTCCAGAAGGAATTTCTGGAAATAACAATGTCATCTTTATAGCCTATCTATATAAATAAATTCTCTCTTTTTCTTTAAAATATAATTTTATTTTATTATGCGATACAATAGTAGAGAAGATAGTATAACAAACACCCATGTGTCTCTCATCCAAACTTAACATTTCTAAATGTCTTGCACACATATTTCAAGTACTTTTTATTTCAAGAAATAAAACTCTACATGTGAAATCTTATTTGTACCTCTGTTACTTCTAATTTTTTGCTCCCCAGTATCCTTTTTATTTATCTTAACATGTAGCTGTGTACACCCATATTTATTATGCTTGTATTTTGTGGCTTTTTTTCTAAAAGATGCATGTACTATGTATCATTCTATAATTTGCTTTTTTCCTTTGACATTATATTTTTAAAATTTGTCCATGTTCATACATGTGTCTGCATTAACACCAGACTGTCTTAATTATTATTCTCTTCATTTTTAAATGACATTTCATAGGTTAAGCCCTCACTGCCAGTTGAGTCTTCAAAACAAACTCAACTATTCACTTCCATATGCATTTTCACATCAGTTTTTTACAATTCCATGAAAGGCACTGGGGATTTTGATAGCAATTGCATTGATTTTAAAGAATAATTGATTGGCAGGAAATTATCTTTATATAATGCTGAAGCTTTTCATTTATGAATATGGTATCTTTCTCCTTCTGTTTAGCCTTCTTTAAGTTCTTTGTAATTATATACATGTACTGTACTAGTACATTCTGTATATTAAAAAGAATCACAGAGTAATAAATGTTCAAAAAGAATGAGATAAAAGTAAATAGAAATAGAGTGTTTTATGTTTTCTTCCAGCATCTTAGTCTGGAGACCATGAGGAAAATCAGTTTTGTCATCTTTTGTGTGTGTGTGTGTGTGTTTTCCTACTCTGACTCTATTCACCCTGCTCCCCTGCTGTGTGTCAATGGAAGAAGTCAGAGAGGAAGAGACTAAATGCCTTACTTCCTCTCTACAAAACCCATGATTGGATGGGAAAAAGAGCCTTGAGAATGAACAAGTAGCATCCAGAAGTGTGTGTTTTTCCCCTTTATTCCACACCCCCATTTCTCTCCATCAAATTCAGAGGGTGATAAGGAGAAACACATTGAACTAAACAGCAATAAGCAGAGGTGGGAAGTTGGTTTACTACCCCATCTTTCTTTATATTCCCCCATATATAGCTTTTCTGTTAAACAGAATCTCACTACTGTTACACAATCTTGACCTTGTAGGAAAAAAGGAGAATGGTAGACCCATAGTCATCAGTGGTCAGGAGAGCTGCTTTATGCAAATGAATTAAATTTCCTAGTTGGTAATTCCTTTTCTTTATAACTCTTCACAAAAATAAATGTGACTTTAGGTTATATAGCTTCCTTTGAGTAGATGTTTGTTCCTTTGATAAATACTCTGCATCTGATTCTTTTTTAAGTCTTGTACATTAAAAGAATATTAAATACTCTGTAATTAAAGATATTTTAAGACTAATAAATTTAGCAAAACATCTAAAATTAACTGTAAGACATTTAGTTCAAAACTATAATTGGGTTAATTCCATATTTGAACTCATAGAATGTGTTTCACATTGTGGTGTAC